AAAACTCAATTAGTTCGCAAATGAAGGCAATCAACTAATTCACCGAGTGTAACACCTGGAGGGTCTGTATGTAAGATGCTGACACAGGCAGAAGAGCAAAGTGGGATACGGAGGAATGCAGTCTTTCAGTATGATTCATGTATTTAAAATGTTTTGTTTCAGCTGCAATACCTTTTTGTTGCATAGTTGTCACACCACCTGAAGGAACCGCGAGGGCTAAGATACTACAAGTCTCCCCAGCCCAGACTGGGCATAGGTTTGGCTCGAACCACGGACTTCCCGGTCAGTAAGCTCGCGCCTTAACCCCTGATCTGTCTCGAGTTCCGTATTACTGCAGTGACAAAAACTGTCACAACGATCAGCTGCTGACTGACCGTGATCCTCACAAATTATTTAACCATGCGAAATTGCAAGTCTTAGACCTTGTTGAACTGCAGAACCCATCCGGGAAAGGAATTAAATATAACCGGAATGAAATGCGTTTGTCCTCTCCGGTTTAAGGATAACGAGCCCACGAGAAGTAATCTCTTCTGTGAGAGACATTACTATTGGAAATGAGTCTGAAGGGCACAAAAGTAGTCCCTTCCGAGACAACTGTACTTCTATCCCGGACGGGAACGCGCAGTGTCCGATTTGGACCCGAATCATGTCTTAAATACCTTGTGTCAAGAATGACTTTTGCTGCCGACTGACATCAGTACCACAAAACCATATCTGCTCACACGGGGAAGACTTGGAACTTCATGCATTTCAACAAGGGGTGGCGAGGTTATGCGCTACTTTGACCACAAGAGACGATTCTGGATGTGAGCAAAACACTATACTGTAAGACAGTACTTCATCCATTAACTGTTACTTGAAACACGTATAAATGCGAAGTATGAATAAAATACTGAGTACCGGAAAGATAAGACTAAAAGGCACATATGTACATCGTACTTAAGGCAAATATACACAGGAAAACGGATAAGTCAAAGAATTTTTGAAAGGATTTGATAATCCACAGGTGGATTATCTTTGAACTGTGACGGATCCGACTCGTCTGTCTTGAACCCGAGTGTGTGGAAAAATTTCAAAGCTCGCTTGTTATCTTTGAATACAGTCAAAAGGAGCCGTTCCATGCGGTGTGCCCGAGCCACCATTGACAACACATCCATTAAGTACCGACCGATTGATAATCCGCGGAACTCCTCGCGCAGCTGGATGTCGTAGCAATATAGAACTGCGTACTGACTTTCACGTTCAAACCGAAAGCTAACAAATCCGGCCATCTGTTTAGGTGAATCCTGTGCGACGCCAATGCGACACAGAAGTAACCACGCCTTTGGTGAGAAGGTTTCGGCGCGCTTTTTATCTTCATCCCATCCCCAGCTGGACTGTTCATAAAGGAGCTGAATTTTCATCATATGAGCATACAGTAGAATGCTAACTAACCTGCATATTTTTCTGGAGTATAGAAAAGAGATCGTTGAGAAGCTCCTCCGGAAGGAACTGCGGCCTCGAACACTGCAAATCTAGCGTAAAATTTGAGGGGGTTGTGGATGGTGCACCGGACAAATTGAGCGCATTGGCCAGCGGATCACTGACAACATTGGCCGAATCGACTAGCTCCTTTGCCTTTGCTTTCCTGAATGCCAGGAGGCCGCCTTTTTCAGATTTGCGGACCATTGTAAGGTTGGCTAAATTGGAAGGAGCAGATGTGTGTGATCATGGTTGTCACCAAACAAATGGTGTACGAAACAGCTCGGTTGACCGAGCTAGAGTTGGCCAGCAGAAACAAGGAGAATTTAAAGTAGGGGTCGATAAAAGATCTACGTTTGCATGAAAACTCTATACGAAAAGTGCCGACTAGTAACCCTCATGTTTCACTCGAAAGAAATAAAACAGCATACATTGTTGAGTGAGCCGACGAGCCAACAGTTGTTTCGTTCGGTGGTCACAAAGGGGGCGTTTGAAAATAATACAGACACACGTAACTAAGTATCTGTGGTGGAACACGTGCGGTAAAATCACCCACCGATCGACACATTCAATAGAAAATATATCGCCATCAGGACGTGTCTACTAGGCGAGTACAAGGTTTCATAAAAGATTGTGTAAACCGCATTGCTTAACATGATTCGTTCGATCAAGTAGATAGATTTCCAAGTCAACCAACTACTGGTTTGTAGCTGAACGCCCAATTAGCACAAACCCTGTGAGATGCGTGCAGCAATGAGGTAGGTATGTGTGAAATGGCAACGCGCGGTCCGGATAATCGAAAAGCTGGGTGAAATGTTCAGATTTTTAATATACGGAGGAGTTGCAGTGGGACATACCCCGATTAATTAATCTACATGCGAATTCAAGTATGTCACACAGAAATCCAAAGCATTCGTGAGTCGTAACGGTGTTCCAGTCTGCTATGTTAGTTTCAGTTATTCTGCTCCATATGTCAACACCTCATGTTCCCATTATTTGGTCTGTTCCCCTTCAAACCGTGCAACCACAACTCATAATTGGAGTAAAGTTATCGGGATAGAGAATTCGACATCCTAGTTTTGATGGTTCTAGGTGCTCCAGTTGGCATTTGCGAAGATGTTTCCTAGTTAAAACCGCCAGAGAGTTAGCTAAATTGACAATGATGATAAAGAGTATGCCACTTTGATAAATAATAAATTTACATAATGATCACTGGCATATCGCGTCACGATCTAATCTAAAATGGGTCAAGCACCCTTTCGTTTCTATATCATACACAACCCTTCAAGTTCTACACCCATTCTTTCGACTAGTAGACAAAGACGCGGCCCAAATTATATTCACCTCGTATTACTGTTGCACATCCTCGCTGATCTGATCCCAAGTGGAAGCGTATTGCAAGAGGGCCCAGTGGTTCCAGATGCAAACTTTTTACAACTTGCTGGCTTCAGGTTAGTTTACACGCTCTATTCAGTATAGTCAGAAGTTTTATCTTTTCATCAGTCACTATGCTAACAAACAACTCAGTAGTATCCAGACCTTCGACTGCTCTCTGTTGTGGTATATTCCGTCAAACTTCAGGTTTCGCCACTCTGAATTGCGCATAGAAAACAAATCCCTTCTCGCAGACGGGCACGTAAGACAAACGGCCCAGCCAACGCTGCTTGCAGTACAGAATGCATTTCTTTAGAGAAGCCCGTTCTGTTTCATCTAAGAACCATTTCTTGATCGCCTCACTCCTAATTTTCTGAATCCAGCAGCAGTTCTGAGAATCCGGCGGTCAATGTTTCAGATTCTCTGGCCACAGTAACCAAGTACCGCATCCATACAACAATACAGGCCGCACTGTAGTCTGATACACGAGTTTTTCAATTACAAGGGAGCAACTGGGAATAATTCTGGCTTTAACCTGCATGTGTTTACTTCGTCTATCGCACTACCGTCAGAGCAAATTCAACTCTGTGTATCGTTCCACAACTTCTAGTGTCACTCCCTAATTCTTAGGGGCATGTGCAAAGACTGTGTGCGCCCCGTAACATAAATTTGTACTTCGTGAGCGCGAAGCATATGCCTAAGAACAGGATGACCTTGGTCGTCTCTTCTAGTAATACCTGTTTCTTGCTCTTTTCTTCAAAAGTGAAAACAATCTCGTCTGCATATTCCAGTTCACTAACGTTCTCGCTCAGGTGAAACTGAATATCGGGGTTCTTCAGACCTTCCAGCTTTCGCTCATTACTTCAGCAAGGATCGACAATAAACAATGGAGAAGTGGACATCCTTGTCGGACACCACTATTTGTGGGGAAACTTGTGAAGGCCTCCGTGTATAACTTCACGCGCTCACGAGTATGTGAACACAAATCGTGTGGCTAAGGCGTGATGTAAATAACTGACCGGTCAACAGAATCGAACGCACTCTTGAAGCCAAGAAACCTCAGGAGTGTGGGGGACCTATACGCATGCCGTTGATTTAACGCTTGATGATTCCACGCGCAACCGAAACACAAAGTAAAAATAAGCGACGAAAAGAATAGTCGTTATCATGATCACGGAGAGCACTAAATCAGTGGTTCAGCACTGATGATTCGCCGCAGTATAAACACGATTTATTTGAAAACCTTAGTGTGAAGAAAAGATTGTGGGAGACCTATAGGCATGCCGTTGATTTAACGCTTGATAATTCCACGCGCAACCGAAACACAACGTAAAAATAAGCGATGAAAAGAATAGTCGTCATCATGATCACGGAGAGCACTAAATCAGTAGTTCAGCACTGACGATTCGCCGCAGTATAAACAAGATTTATTTGAAAACCTTAGTTTGAAGAAAAGAATAACGGTGGACAGGGAACGCACTTAGTGCGAGCTTACTATGACCACGTCCAGACACTCACTCAGTGTTAGGCAGGAATCCACGCGGATCCCACTATACCGCACGTCTTTAGGTCATATCTTGCAGCGTCTCAAGCCAGACGCAGTGGGGCTCACACGGCCCCCATCCTGGAAGCACCGACAGAAGCCAGACGTTTCGTAATCTGTTTCATACCCCTGTCAACTTAAGGGCTGGCCACTTCTCTGTTTCCGCCGCTCTGAATTGGTCACGGAAAACAGCATTTTTTCGGCAAACGATGGTTCGGCATACGCCACTAATGGTCTGACTAATGCAGCTTCTGGTGTTGGACACATTCTTCAATGAGAGTTCTCGTTGCGCAACCAAAGGCTCGCTTCCCAATTGCCTCGTTACGTACTTTTCGACACCAACCCACAGGAGCCATGGTCCTCAGACAATGATTATCGAACATCTGAAGATATCTCGGTTCTCCGCTCGAAAAGCCCAAGTCTCAGCCATACAACAAAATAGTCCGCACTGTAGCCTAGTACACACACCTTGAGATTCATGGGTATACCGCTTTGACGCCATAGCTGTCTCGAATTAGCAAAAGCGTCCGAGCCATGCAGATTCGTGATTGACCTCATCTGTCACACTACAATCAGAACTAATGCAATTTCCAGGGTACATAAGCTCCACATCTCTGAGTGCCTCTCCTTGGATTGTAAATGGCATGTTCAGTGACTGCATGTCCACGAGCATGACCTTGCAAATTGTGGATGCAAAGTGCATATCAAAGGACTTTGGTAAGTTCATCCAACAACGCCTGCGCCTTCTCCTCCTCTTTGAAAACGAGAATGATATAGTCCACATACTCCATATCAACAAGGTTTTCGTCAAAGGCTATTTAACACGGGCCTTGAAGACCCAGCTTTCGTCTCTTTTTCTTACCTACCACGAAATTACATAGGAATGGAGAGTGAGCATCCCTGACGGACACCGCTTTGTGTACGGAAGCTTCTGGAGAGCTCTTCGTATGCTCTTGCACGTCCGGAAGTCTGAGAATTCCGGGGCGTTCCTCGATGGGCAATTGTGTCAATGAGAACAGACCGGTCACCTGAGACGAACGCACTTTGGTAATCCAAGAATACCAAAATTATGGGTCGTTTGTACATGTGGCGTTGTCCTAGCACCTGACGGAGTGTGAAGGTTTGGTCAGCGCAACCCCTACCAGGCCGAAATACCCCTTGCTGCTCTCGAGTCAGTGTTTCACGAGGCACCAAAAGACGACGAATCACCGGTAACGCCAACATTCTCGTTACATCCGAGGTTACGATAATCCATCTATGATCACCACAATCATTATGGGCTCCTTTTCGAACGTAGGCATTAGTATCGACTCTGCCCAGTTGTCTGGGACAGTCTTCTTTTCCCAAATGCACACAATCGCCGATTGAGGGTTTCACCCCCATCTTTTAACCATGCATGATAGGTCATCCGGATCATAAGCTAGGTGGCGCTTGAGAAAATACAGGCCATCATAAACCCCCTAGGCCGTAGGGGGCTCCACATTCACTGTCCAAGGTTGTACGCTCACTTTCACTTGACGTCTGATAATTCGTCACGTGCGGGACCGGTTCGGATATTTCTCCGAGACTTAAGCAGTGCCCCGTTCGGTCTGATATTCAGTGCTTGAGTGAGCCTTGTACCAGCAATGTGCAATGAACTATGGCAATCTCGTCCCAGTATGAGTTCACATCTGATGGTGGAATATTTGAAAAACTCTAGAAGACGATTCTGGTAAATTCGTCTAACATCCGGATATGCAAATCTCTCAGTTACCAAGCGATTACTCCGCACCTTACGCAGACCTGAAGAACAAAGGGAGAAGCGACTGTAGACAAACGACTTCCAAAATAACCGGCAGTCAGTTATTGATCTGTGCCATCGGTAACTCATGGCAATGTGATCCATTTGACTTCGTGGCCGGCACGCCTTTGGAAGACACCATGTGGCTAGACTTCGGCTAGTTCGGAAAACAGTACTGCATAAAAACAGCCTGCGGTCTGCACACAACTGAAGCAATCGTTCACCATTGTCCGTACGTACAGGATCCAATCGATGTCGACCACCTAATTTATTCTTGGATAGTCCTGGATACGCTGAGCCTGCACACTTCTTCACTCAGAACTCCGGCAACCACGACGGTATTTGAGCTCTTGGCTCGCCAAAACAGGGCGTTCAAGGCGTCATAAAACTTGAATCTGAAGGTGCCAGAGCTACAGTAAATTGGGGGGGGGTAAGCAGACAGGACAAACAGACATCCATCAACTTCTTG